TAAATGAGTTTTTTTAATATATATTTTAAAGATATTTTTTTATATTTACAATAAAAATATTCTCAAATTAATTTTTATGTATTTTGAGATAATTTTTTTCTCAATAACCTAAAAATTACACTCTTATATTAGCTTTGGTGCATTCAAAAATACTTTTTTTTTAAATTAATAATATAAAAAAGCATTAACCCTTTTTGAGTAAATAAATACAATAACATTTGTAATCCATTCAGTTAATACTTGTCTTTTTAGACCGAGTCAAACTTGAAACTTTCCCAAATTTGAATTGTAAAAAATCCCCATTTTTTTTTGTCACTTTTCTTTCAACTTCCACCCCACGCATTCCGCAGTCCGCACCCTCCGTTTCAGGGTATCACCCAAACAGTCCAACGACAGCCTGTCAGCACTCCAGGCATCGCACACCTCTGCCTTTTCTCCCATTTCTCCCAAGAAACGTGGCATGATCTCATTGGACACATCAACAAACAGCACGAAAAGTACACAAACCGCACCCGCCCAAACATTAACCCAAACTTCCTGGGAAATAGAAAAAAACAAAGATGGGTCCCACCTACTCTTTACTTTTCCCATTCGTTTTTTTTTACTGGTCCCACCCGTCTTCCCCTATCTCTGCACCTTTCGGCTTCCGTTCTTTCGGTTTCTTTCATCCCTGGCTTTTTTTTTCTCTTTATTCTTTCCAATTCTTCATTGCCTTTTATTATTCTACCCGCCCAAAATACTCCGGCCGAATTCAGGCTGGCTATTCGACATGCTCGCCGACGTTGGGTCTCCACCTCCCTACAATGATGAATCGTCTGCGTCTCCCTATACGAAGTCCCCATGGTCCCATCATGGCCACACCAACTCCGCTCCCGAGAACGATATTTACAGTACTCCTTGTAACGTCCTTATGGGGTCGCTGGTACGTGAAGAGGGGCACATATATTCCCTGGCAACTTACGGTGACTTGTTATACACGGGTTCCGATAGTAAGAACATCCGGGTCTGGAAAAATCAGAAGGAGTTCTCGGGATTTAAATCGCACAGTGGATTGGTGAAGGCAATAGTCATCGCCGGAGAAAAGATCTTTTCGGGCCATCAGGACGGGAAGGTCCGAGTGTGGAAGGTTTCTGGGAAAAACCCGAGTGTTCACAAGCGGGTCGGGACTCTACCGTCTTTGAAAGATCTTCTCAAAAGCTCCATTAAACCGAGCAATTACATTGAGGTGCGGCGGCACCGGAGCGTGCTCTGGCTTAAGCATTTCGACGCAATTTCGAGTCTTAGTTTGAATGAAGACAAAACTCTGCTTTACTCTGCTTCGTGGGATAAAACGTTCAAAGTCTGGAGAGTATCGGATTTGAAATGTTTAGAATCCGTCAATGCCCACGAGGACGCTGTTAACTCCATCGTCTCCGGATTTGATGGCTTGGTTTTTACAGGTTCGGCCGACGGCACGGTGAAGGTCTGGAGGATGGAATTACAGGGGAAGGGAACCAAGCATTTCTTTTCGCAGACACTTTTAAAGCAAGAATGCGCGGTGACCGCATTGGCGATGAACCCTGATGCCAAAATCATTTATTGCGGTTCCTCCGACGGGCGGGTAAATTTCAGGGAACGGGAAAAACATCTCTCACACGGCGGCGTCTTGAGAGGTCATAAGTTGGCGATTCTGTGCTTGGTAACGGCCGGAAATCTTGTGTTCAGTGGATCAGCAGATATGGCAATATGCGTGTGGAGAAGATCAGGGAGCGAACATTTGTGTCTCTCAGAATTAACAGGGCATACAGGGCCTGTTAAATGCTTAGCAGTGGAGGAAGACAAAGAAGCAATCTCTGGGGAAAGCCGGTGGATCCTGTACAGTGGTAGTCTAGACAAGTCGGTGAAGATGTGGCGGGTATCGGAACAGGCACCGCCGATGAAGCAAAGCGACCAGTGCCAGCATTACATGAAAGATTGTGGTTGTGAACCGAAAACGTTGCAATCACCTCCTAGTTTCACTTCTCTAATCATAGCACAAAACCAGAACGAGCTACAATAAAGGTAATTGCTTCTACATGCAACTAATTTGATCAAGGGATTTCATTTCATCTATTGCGTTTCAATGTTAATTTATGTCTCGCCTCTCCGTTTCTGAATCTCTAGGGTGATTTTTGGTTACGGGACTCGGCCATTCGGGGGTGAAAACATGACATTTTGAGGATTGACAAATGTATAGCATACACCAAATTTAAATTGATTGATTGAACAAGGAAAAAAATATTTATTTCTTGAAGAGTTTTTTCCTTTTTTCATACAATGAGAGTTAATATTTTTTTATAACTTTGTCGGTTGGTGTAACCATTTAAACTCGAAATCAACAACGATTACCATTAGACATGTTTAGATCATTGACTTGAAGAGATCATCTAGAACTAGAAGTTTGTGTAACTTTTAATGTTGAAAATGAGTGCAGAAAATATAAGATTGTGATTGAAATTTGAATGATTTTTTATTATAATTTGAAAAAAAGGTCAAATTTTCTGCTATGGATTCGGTATGAGAAGATAACTCACATCGGAGAAATTTCAAGTAATTTGTCTCATGTTTTTAATTAATTAAGATTTATATTTGTGGGCAAGGAACAAACGAAGGGAACTTTCAGACTGACTCTGCATGTCACGACTAATGCATGTTGTTATATTCTGGACGGAATTGAAAATAATGTTAATAATAGGCCCCATTTGATGGATTAAGGAAAAATAAGCAATCATTAAGTAATGAAATGAAATGAAATGTTGGATTCTGGGTGTGGAAAGTTGACATAATAATGAAAAAAACATTACAGCATAATTTTTTAAAAAATGATTTATCTAAATTATATCTTAAGGTATAGATTAATAATGTATTAAATATATATTTTTTAATAATTTATATTAAAACGATAAAAATAAAATTTTAATTTATTAACTATTTAATTGAATTCACTTTACATTAAAAATATTAATTTTTATATTTTTATATATATTTATGACAAATAATATATTTAATATA